CTGGCAAAGGGGAAGAAAATAGTACCTGCTTGGTTATGGACGAAATCCGAGGGCAAAAATGGGTACTTATTCGTATGCGCGGCGTAATTTGATTTGCGTTCTGAGAGTGCCCCTGAAATGCTCACAACCCAAAAGTGTGTTTCAGCAATTTTCTGCTGTTACGTGGCTAGCCCGCCTTTTACACGAGGCAACCATTCCAAGTGAGACCAAAAGGTTGCGAATACTGGGCAGACAAGGATGCTGCGAAGTAGTCAGTCTTTGAAGGTCCGAAGCATTGGCGGACTTTCAGTGACATTAGTAAGTACTTAAATGTGCAACTTTCAGGCCTAAGGCGACATTTGTTGGGATTGAGGTCGGACTGAGAGCGCTAGTGGAAATCCAGTTTCACAAATATTTTAAAAAAGAACGTGTAGTCAAAGTAGTGTGAAGTGGCAATGCACTATTGCACTGGAGGGTAGGGTGAGGTCGACTTTGGGCACTCCGTCCCCAAGGAACTTCAGTGCATTTCAGCACTACCACGAGGCGCTAAAAGTTGTGGCTTGGAAAATTGCCAAATGACGTAATAATTTGGTCCTCTCAGGGCGCGGCTGCACTGGCTACTTCAGACGGCAGCTTATATGGAACTCCTGCTCCGCGGTAGGATTCGAGTCGCGCCTTGTTTATGTGAAATCCTGACACGCTCGGTGGAGGTCAAATTGCATACGTGACACGCGTAGATGGCCTGTTTAGCTTTATTTGAGGCCGCTGCCGCACCCGATCCCGTCCTCGGATCCTTTCTGACTGCGTCCTGCTACAAAGGCTGCACAAGTTTACTACTACTATGGGCTAAATCACGCGCAATTTACTGTCCATCCATTTACCACGCTATAGGGCACCCGGCAGACGTAATCACTCGTTTATGAAAGTTCACCTGACCGTTAACGGGACTCACCTGTCCGGCTTAGCCTTGGGCCCCGCCAGAGGCCCTGACAGTCGTAACAGCTGGTAGTATAGGCAGATAGTATTGCCGGCAAAGACAAGGGAGATTGGAATGGCCATTTTTGGCTTATTAGACGTCGTCAGCCAGTCATACCCAACCCCAGGTGGTGCACCACAAGAGCCTCGTACTCGTGACCTTTTTTTATCGGAGTTAAGCGCCCTAACCATTGAGCCACGAGCCCGTTGTCTAGCCGGTTTTGGTCGGGGGATGTTGACGGTATCAAAATACTATCTCCCAATACTATCTGCCTAGACGTAATCAGTGGCGATGGTCGAACTCTTGGAATTATAGATGTGCACGTGGGCTGCCGTCTCCAACTAGGTCCCAGGATCTCGGCCGGTAATCCGCCTTTCCTTGGAACATCAAGTTTATGAGGTCGGTTTTCTCTTAAAAAACTCAAATTTCAAAATATTTTGAACGTCAAGTAGTTTATTTGTCACTGTTGTTTCTATTTAGTCTACAAGAAGGTCCTTGTCAAACTGTTAATCTTGACTGCATATCTAACAATTTTATCGACAAGAATATCACTCACTTAGGATTGAATGCTTGCTGATATGTAGACATTTTTCATTGGTAAATCTGAGATATTCCTAGTTATCCAAATTAGTAGGTATTCGTAATGTCACTCGGCAACTACAAGTTTCCGACAGACAGGAAGCGTTTCGAACGATTTCGTGTTAAGCGAACCAACGACTCTCGGTGATAGGAAACAAGAACGAAGATCCTCCTCCCAGCCTATCAGACCAAACTGTCACAGAACAGCGCAAACTTCGCGTAACGGCGACCTGGCACCCGTTTACTTTTAAAAGAAGTTCAAAATGCGTTGAAGGTCATGGAATAGCCTAAAGTGGGTGTCATATAGAAATAAACGTTTAAAAAGTCCTAATCTCCGTCCCACGTAGCTATAGAAGTTCTGGTAAAGACACCATGTGCAAAAACGGTTGTGATAAAATCTCTGTAGGACCGACACAGTGGGAAATTCCAAGGGCGTGCTGTTTGTAAGACATGCTATAAAACAAGCAACTGACCTAAAGGGTGTAAAAAAGACAGAAACTGTTCTTGTGCGATTCGTTGGCTCGGCAGAGAGATAGTAACATTTGTGCATCTAAGGGCAGCGGTTGCCTGCGGTCCTAGCTCAATTATTCACCTACGCATTACTCGGTTTCTTCTCCACTCAGTTCTCTGTAGAGACTGCGGAAAATTAAAACAAAGACGATTGGACATAGGCCGCTACTGCAGATGGCCTTGCTCTAGGTTCCAGGGTATATACTGTACCGCGTCCCAACCTGAAACCCTTCTGGAATTTAAATTAAGGGCACCTGTTATACTACCAAAATTACCAATAGGGTCAATTGGTCTTCACCTGGATCCGCAGTTTTAAACGCCCGCCATACTTCGGCCAAAGAAGGCCACAAAATAGCCACCAATACATGCCAGTAGGGATCGTTAGTCAACACAAGCTCCGTAAACCTCCTTCTCATGTGGCATTGTGCCAAGTACCTACCAGTCATGACTGTTACAATGGTAGT